CCCCCCCCCCCCAACCACACACACACACACACAACTTGTTTTCACTAAAACCAATGGGCACTGCCACCTCCTTTTGAGCTAGGGATTCAAGTCTCTAACAGCCAGTAACAATTATTATTTTATTATTTTCTCCTTCAGTGTGTTTGTAAAAAATTTGAGAATTTTTTCAATGTTGTTGCTGTTGCTGCTGTTTTGAGTGTAAGTTTTAACTACACTGTTAAGTGAAACATGAATATAATAATATTATTAAGATTATTGAATCTCGATAATTCTCATTATCAATTGGTAAATGATAGCTGCTCCAGTTCCCTTACCATCCACTTCGTCCAAAATAAATTCATCTTGAGATGTGAGGTCCAGTTCACCGAGATCAAGATCAATTTGCAAATCCTGCTGAGAGAAAGAAGAGAGTCAAAACTAATTTCTGCCGTGCATTTTACTGTGAAGAGTTTGGGAACCTGCAACTTTTACTGACTCTAACTTATAAGATCACCTTAAGATAGAAGTTATAATCTACACAAATCAAAAAGAAAATAGAATAGCGTGCAACCTCTTCTGTTTCTTCAACGTCATTCAAACCACTATCATTTGTCTCTGCGATGTTTACGTTTTCTACATTTTCATGATGGCCGTCCGCCATCTTTAGTTTGTCGGTCATCAATAACTACATTATGTAATCCACACTGACTAGTATCTCCAACATAGTAGCGCTGACAGTTTGTACTGAGGGCGCAGGAGGAAATAAAATCCTTGAATATTTGATGTTCAATATTTTCGTAGCGTGATCTCTTCCTCTTGAATGACGATGTTTCAACATCTTTCCTGCTCCACCCCCTGGATCTGGAATGCTTGTACGACACACGATTTAGCTGGATTTCGCAAGAGTTGTTGCTTAATAATACTCCCGCTCACGTTTGATTCGTCAGACTGAAAGTCAACTGTTCAGTGAACTCTTTGCGTTCATTAAGTTTGCAGAAATGGGAAATTTACTACCTCTAGATAGCTCTAAAAAGCAGCAAATCGAAGGTAAGGTTCTTGCTTACTGTTTCGAACGAACCGGGAAGTTGCTTTCCAATAGCCGGGAGCTTTCGCCTCTTACTGACGCACTGGAGAGCACTTTGCATTGCAGAGGTGTCGATTACTGGTGCAGGCTTCATTAGATTTGAACTTCATTTTCTAGGTACAAACTGAATTCGATCTGTGTATAAAAAAACGCACTGTCCATTCTCCATGCTGTCTTTGTGGGCTATTGACCCGCCCAACCTTGTTATGAACCTAACACTCTACATGTACATGTGCGCAACACTTGCATTTTCTCAATAGATAAGCTTACTTTTAACTTTACTCAGTTAACTAACTAACTAGCTAACTCGAGCGCAAGTTTGCAATAATGGCAGGCAATAATAATTATGCATGTGGCACAATTGAGGGGATTAATCTACATGCTAAATGGTTTGCTTTTGTGTTGAAGCTAAGCTTTTTTCTCAGGTGGGAAAGAAGCCTTTAAGAATAAATGGGAAGAATAAATCGATAGAGTGCTGCTACCATTTAAGCCTGCATGATTATAAAAAAATGCATAGTTTCAGGAAAAATATTGAATATGATAATCCTGCTGTCTTTCCATAATTGCTAATGTGCTGAAGAGGGTGAGACAGGGAGGGCTGTCTCCTCAGGAAAGTGTTGCAATAATCTCTGCAAACATCTGCAACACCCTAACCTTGTGGAAAGAATGACATATTGTACGCCATTATCTCAGCCTGCCGTTACCTATAATGTAAAGTACTGCAAAACAAAGAGCTGGAGGCTTTTGGAGAGCCTCTGTTCCTTTTAAAAAGAGACCAAAAAGGCCAAAAATACAGCAATTTCCTCTCATTCACTTATACATTTTTTTCCTTTTTGTTTCCTGTTTGTATGAAATTAGGTGTTTTCACCCACTTCCTGCCAATGAAAGTGTTCACTTTATTTCCCCTGCTGTTCACCATGCTATTGTCTCAAAAGGATAATGTTTGATAATGTCCTTTTTTAGGCAAAAAATGATTGTACATGATTGTATGTTCTTTTGTGTAATAATTATTCATATTGGGTCAATCTTAAAAAAAAAAGCAATAAAATTACATCATCCACAAATTTACCCTTTTTCAGACATTGCAGAGGAATTTCTTAAGGAATTCACAATAGCCTACAATACTGCCTATGGAGTTGAATACACAAAGAAAACCTTGAAGGAGATAGATGCTGATTCATTTGCAGAGGAGAAACCTGTTTACAAATTATCGCACAGACCGGTAAGTAAATAGTGGATCAGTGGCTACTTACATGTAGGTGTTGCATTCTATCAGGGTCAAACATTTTTTTTGGATTTTTCCATGTTCTACTGGGGAAAAATGTTTTTGGTTGGTTTGATTGATCAACTTGTTAAATTTTTAACTGTGTGGCATTATTTTCAAGTGTTGCTGCCATTTTTGCACAAATTTCATGCATGAAAATTTGTTTACCCAAGCCTCACGATAAACTTGTCAACAATGCAACAATGCTGGTCTTCATGCAATTTTAAAAGCACTTCATAAATAATTAGAGAAACAATGTTTCAAAGTTTTCAATACATTCTCTGATCCATAGATTAAAAAAGTGTTATCTTGGGAACTCGAACAAAATCAACCAAAACTGGTGTTGCTTTTGATAAAGTGGTGGATCCCAATAAAACATGACCCTACAACTGTGTATGTTACAGGTCAAAATAAGATTCAGGTTAAATTTTTTTAACCTAGATTGATCCTCAATTTCCTCGATCAACCTAGGGCTTGGCGCACGCTACTGGTGTACACGAGCGTAACACGGTGCCTTATGCACGATTCGCGCTCAAGAAAAGGCACGGTTTTGTGCCAAAGCACGGGAAAAAAACATGCAAAGGAACAGATTAGGCACACTTAAGGCACAGTTAAGGCACGTTTTAAATATTGCTAAGGCACATTTTAGGCTCAGTTTGGGCACAGTTTTGGCACGGTTTAGGCACAGTTTACGCACAAATATTCAACGCTGAGCACTTTTTTGAAAATCTTTGTAACCTGACTTTCAAAAAAGAACAAACTTAGTACGAATTACAAAAATAATTCAGATCAAACACGATACAGTTAGAAGTATAGGAAGTGTAAGTTTTGAGTCACGGCGAAAGTCGGGAAGATTAAAGTATTCTTCGACAGTCCGTGTTTACTACGAGGGTAAAGTGGAAATTCACATGCGATACATGCGGTCTGAACCTTTTCGGTTACGATGCAATTTTTTAGACTGAGCTTTCTTTCGTTTCTAAAAGAAATCGTGAAAGAAAGTCGAAGCCATAATAACAAAAGCAAAGCTAAAGAAGTAAGGCACAAAAATAGCCGATAAAAGTCGTAGAAAACACCTTTGCGATTGCGGTAAAATTGGCCTGAATAGAGTACTAAAGTGATGATGTCATAAAAATGAAATTTCTGTAATTATGGGATTTGTCAGGATATTCTGAAAGAACAATGTCCAAGAGGCCTACTTGCCAAAAATGAGCATTTCGCGGCAAATTGTCTCTGAGATCGTAGCCCAGTTATACTCAGAAAACTCCATACAAACCCTTCTAATTTTTTTTGGGGTCGACCCAAAAAAAATTTAGAAGGGTTTGTATGGAGTTTTGTAAGCATAACTGGGCTACGATCTCAGAGACAATTTGCCCCCAAATGCTCATTTTTGGCAAGTAGGCCTCTTGGACATTGTTCTTTCAGAATATCCTGACAAATCCCATAATTTCAGAAATTTCATTTTTATGACGTCACACTTTAGTACTCTATTTGCATAACAACATGAAAAGTGGTAATTTGAAACCTTCATTGCAACGCGTGTTTTTTTTTTAATACAAAATGCCGCTGCTTTTTAAAAATATTTCTCTAACTAAAAAGGTAGAATTTACACTTAGTAGTAAAGTAATTCAAGCTGCTTGTTTGTTTTTGATTTCTGGCTCTGTTAGCAAATTAAGCTTTAATCGTATAATAATCGATGAGACGTGCCAATTTGCTTCAAAACATCGGCGTGCAATCAATTTGTTCGTTTTCATTTTATAAGTCATATCAAATTCTTTTTTTGAATACAAATCTGCCCTCCTGCGAAAAAAATATTTCATTCCAACTAAACGCTCCGTTAAGAAGGGGAGAAGAAACCCACTTGGAAATTTTTTAACATCAGTGAACTTCTTGAATCGATGAAATTATATCAACATGTAATTGAGCTGAGCACTTATTTTAAATACGCTAACCTGTTTAAGATTCCATTTTCCTGTTTGTCGGGGCTTTCCCTGCTGTCTCTAACCGTATTCTGAGTCATGTTATTTCTCATAAGGGGATAAAAAGGTCGTCAGACCGTGTTTCTAGACTTCGTAAACCTTAAAACTGACATAATTGCTGTGCTCACTTTTCTTTCGCTGTGGAGCTCGATAGGCTGGACACGCTTTTTTGAGTGACTCAATATTTTGGCACAACTTGTGCACAGATTAGGCACAGTTTGGGCACAACTTAGGCACAGCTTAGGCACGTTTTTCAAAACTAAAATGCACACTTTATGCACATCTTAGGCACATGGTTCAACGCACGGTTTACGAATTTTCACGTTAAAAAATGCTTTCTAACCTTAGATATTTGATCTAAGTGTAAAAATGGGTTTCCCGAAGTCTTAACAGTTAGTCTATAAGGAAGGTTTAACTTATGAGCATTCCAAGAATTATTATTTCTTCTCTTAACAACAAAAGAAAGTCAATCAAAAGCAATCTTTTAAATTGATGTTCGCGCTGCACAGAGATCGGATGTAGACAGAACATCTTTCTGAAAATGCCCTAAACTTTGTTGTTTTGCCATTATGTGCAGTAATTTTTAATACAGTTAGTACTCATAAGTCACTGACCTCTGTGGAGAAATTTTTCCAAAGTACCATTAACAGAAACAGAGAAATCCGACAATATGCGTGGTTAGACTGTAAATGTTACGCGAGCTGTTAAAAAATGGTCCCATTTTGAGCCATATTTTTCATATTTTAATTTTATTTTGGTCTTACAGCCAGAAAAAAAATATTCAATGAAAAGCTGTTTATAAACTTAAACTTCTTGCCAAATATCGATGCGATCTGAGTTTTAATAAGTTCATAAGGGCCAAACGATGTGAGATTCAACGATGTGTACACCAGTGGCGTGCGCCAAGCCCTAGGGTTTAAAAATTTTAACCTGAATTTAATTTTGGCCTGTAACATAATGTCACGCATATATTTTTTATTTGATGTTGAGGCTTTTGATGATTAATCTCAATTTGCAGTCATGATTAATATTAGCTACAATGAAGGACAAAAGTGTTGAGACACTTCAATAAAATGGCCCCTTTTTGAACAGTGGATATACCTATCCCCTCTCCCTGTTTACCCCCACCCCCTCCCCCCAAGACCAATGTTGCATATTAGACCCTCAAGTCTTTCTTTTACTACAAACAACATTGATTCAGGGATGGAAGGATTTACGGCATTTAAATAGAATGAAATAATAAATTTATGAAATTGTTGATAAAAGCACCTGTTTTAGATAAGTGTGTCAACTGCTTGCATCCCTGATTGTAGGTCATTTATAGTTGTATTTGTAATTTTTATAGTGGGACACCTTCAAGTGTCCTATAAAGATGGGATACCTTACAAAGAAAGGGGCAGTGGTCAAGAACTGGAAGAGGCGTTACTTTGTAGCCAAACCTGATTACTCAGTAGACTATTATGAAAGTGAAGAGGTAAGTATATTCCTGAACAAAGAATTCAAGAAGAAATCTTTGGCTTGTCTTTTGAAAAATCTGTGCTCATTTTGATATTAGAGGGTCATGGCCTATGAATAATCCTGGCGCTTTACAGCGTAAGAGTGTAATACCCTTATATTGATAAAAAGTTGGCAGGTAAAAGGTATATATATGTATTAGGCTGAAATGGATTCAACTTGGTTTCACTATCCTCAATGAAAATGAATTAAATTATGAAATGATTTATGATCACGAATAGTTATTAGGCTAATTTAGCAACAGGACGGGAAAGTCAGTTGACGACGGGAAGGCGCACAGAAAGGACTAAACATGCTTCCTTGTGCCCAATTTGTCGCTCTGTTATTGGTCAAGCCAGTTGTTTGATCTGAGCACGCCGTAGTCAACTGGCATTCCCGTTCTGTTGCTAAATCAGCCTATTATAAGGACCAGGAGGCAGAGGAAATTGCGAATCAAACTGCTGCAGGTTGAAACTATTTTAACCTGAATTTTATTTTAATCTTAACATGAAAAAGCAGTATTGGAGCTTCTATGACTGTATATTTTATTTCTAGTAAAGTGCATGTAGAAGTTTGCTTACTTCTGGAAGTCATACAAAATTAATAATTTTTGTAATACATGTATACAGGCATATGAGAAAGGTTTCAAACCTAAAGGCACCATCTTTCCCTGTGGATATGAGGTTAATGCTAATGTTGATGAAACAATGGCTGAGAGGCTTAAGAATCTTGCAAAAATGATGGGTAAGGTGATTTAGTTGGCTTGTGAGAGTGATTGGTTGAGGAAAGGAACAAAATAAGAAACAAGTTAGGATTAAGCACCGAGAATCATTTACCAATACTCAGTCAGTTCAGCTAGAATCACATAGCCTTTTTGTAGACATCTCCTATTCCTTTTTTGCTTGTGGAAAAGGGTGGTGCCTTAAGTATGTATTCATCAAAGAAAAAAGTCCGAGACAACTGCATGCAGGCTAGAGTCACCAAGATGTAACTAGTAATAGTTAACACTACAGCTGCCCCCGCTCTGTATACTGTAGGTCAATAGTGTTCTTAGTCATTGTGTAGCTCTTTGAAATATACCTATTCATAATGAAGATTTTCACACATTTTCCATACAATAGGTGAGATAAAAACAGGAAATGCAAGGTTGCTTGCACTGATTCAGTTTGATTTACACAGCTTTGGTCAAAACCTTCTCAGTTTCGAGAATAGTTTATTCTAAGCCATTTTTGTACAGTTCATTTTGTTTGTCGGAGAGTAAGCCGTAGAAATTCAAAGGTTTGATCAATGCGTTCTAGCCTTTTATTTAACATTATAGAAGGACATTCTGTGAGTAGGTAATACACTGTAAGTCAGCACAGAATTAAATTGTCGGCAAAATTTCTCTATTCGTCCATTGTTCTGCTAGTGATAAGCCAGCCATTGATTCACTTGTCTTGCTTGTTTGTGAACCGAGTCTTATTCCGCAAAATCCCTGTGGGGGCAATAATACAATTTGTATTAAATTGTCATTTAAGGCTTTTAATGCTCTGTTTACTGACTTACAAAGCAGATGAGATGTGACTGGTGACTTCTTTGTGTTACAAACAGTCTCGTGACTGAGCACATGTATAGTATCACTGCAATAATAGATTTTTTATTTTTATTTTTTTAGGAGTGGATGAAAACGAAGTAGGAGTTCCAGAGAAGTTACCAGAATACACTTTTGAGGTGGGACATGATAGGAGAAGGTCTTATCTCATCACGGCTGAAAATGAAGAAGACAAACAAGCCTGGGTGGAAACTTTTAAAGTTTGCTGCAGAAAAGCGAAAGGTAAGGTATACTGTATTTACTCTAATTTAGGGCCATGGCATTTATTAAATTTTTTACTCCTCAAATGTGACGCTTATTCCAGGGCATTGTTTAACAATCAAAAGTTGGATGCAACAAAGCATCATTTCAACTTACTACCAATGCTATTATTATTTTCCATATTAAACTAACAGAATTGGCATCTTTTGGCTTCGATTATATCAGGCCCACAGCACTTAACATTATTAATATTATTTTTTGGTTCCAAATGCATTGCTTACTCAAGGGTGGCACTTCTTTGAGTAAATTAATATGGTAGATCTATAGAGTGTTTTCACATGACATCACGGCAGCCATATTGGTGTCCCAAAACAATGAAACGGTGGCCATGTTGGTGTCCCAAACCAATCCTGTGGGAGTTGAACTCTTTTCTTATGCAAACGCTTTCTCTTAAGTTTCGATAAATTTGCATAGATGCTGGTCGCGTGTGTGAAAACACTCTATTGTTTCAATTATACAAACTGTGAAAAGTCATGTCAATAGTGCGACATAAAAGTCCATGTTGATAGTAGAGTAAATGAGTAAAGCAAACAAGTTGTCTAAACTTAGTAGAGTCTGTTAATTACATGGACAAGAAAAAAGTGCCCATAGTGTCCACATTGATGAAGCCCTGTTAGGGTAAAATTCCGACAAACGACATGACTTTAAAATGACAACATAAGACAAATTAAAATATATGGCAACAAACAACACGAAGGTGGTTTAAAGCTGCAACAGCAATGAAGACAAAAGCAGAAACAATAGAAAAATGCAGACAGGTACGTGGCTAATTCCTCCTCAATACAGTTTGTGAAGTGACAGGTTTTGAAATTCCGAATACGGACCTGCATACCCACCCCAAGAGGGCCTCATAAATAGAGAGGAGAAGTCATTATGTCATGTTGCCATGGTAGCAAAATTTTTGAATGACAACAAACCGAAAATTCACTTTAAAAGTAAATTCGCACTGTTTCAAACTTCATTGATCTTATTCATTTGCATTTAATTTGTCAAATGCTGGCAAAATTATCAGGATTGAATCCGAAAGGACCCTATCTGAGGGTTTTCTTTCCCCAAGGACAATTTAGCAAACTGTCGGAATAATGAGGTGTCCATATAAAGCACGTTTGATTCAGAGAAAATGAAAGGGCTTTCTTTCCCCGGGGACCAAACGAACTGTCCGTAATAATGAGGTGTCCTTATTAAGTGGATATTGTCCGAAAGCAGGATTTGATTGTATTATAACTTGTATGGTTACAGGACTGAAGAGTGAAGACCCAGTTGGTTGTGCAGCTTTCAAGACTGCTATCTGGAAAACATACTGGAGACACAGGGTTACTGGCACCGAAGAGCAGGTTGGCAAAAAAAATATGGCTATAATTATTTTTAATCGTTGAAATTAGACAATGATTTAAAGGTACAGTATCCACTTTATGTTTCTACCATCTACGTTATGCTGGGCTTTGAGTGGAGGAAAGCCCTTAGCCAGAGGAAAACCTCCTGGAGCAGTGGCTAGGACAAACAAGTTGAACAAAGTTAGCTTTTATATAGAGCATCAGCTCTGTTATTTGCACTCAGTATATGCAATTTAGGCTGCCACATTAATATTTTGACTCCAAACTATTTCCTCTTGCCATGTTTTGACAAGAGTTTACCTACACTGTATGGTCAAACAACGAACATTTTTATTAGTGTGTCGTAACTCCTGAAGGGTGCCCACCAATGTAACAGTAATAAGTTGAAGATTAATGAATAAAATAAGTATTAGTATTTATGCAATCTAGGCATGAATCAATCAATCAATCAATCAATCAATTTATTTATGTCAATACGTGGGATGGGGTTGCCCCGATCATCCAAGCCGGCAGAGCCGAATCAGGGCCTCAAGCATCAGACTATTCCCAGATTCTTCGCAAGATTAATATTTTTTTCTTCATCTGAAAGCCAACAAGCTCCTCCTTCCATTATTTCTCTTTAAACAAGATTTTATAAAAAACTTAGGTCCCTGTTATTTTTTAATGATTTGGTTTATAGGGTGGCCCAAAAATATAATTGTGATGGAATTGGCCAAAATCTAATGGTATTGATTTAATACAATGTATTTTTGTCTTGGGAAATTGGAACCTATAAGCAATGCGACATAATGTGAGATGTATTCTCTTCAGGTTCTTAGTGACATCCTTGTTGACAGAATCAATTACCGCGTGATGACTTCTGTGTACTATGAAATTAAAGGAGGCTGGACAATGAGGCAAAAGATCAGAGAACAAGTAAGCTATTTTATTTTATTTTTTTGCAAAAAAATATCACATACATGTACTGCAGTAAACTTATGGATTACTGGATTCCACAATTTGTAGAATCTTCCGTTAGTGTTTGCATGTGTATAAGAGGTATTTGTGTACTATTGATTCATGTAGGTTGTCAAGACACTTGATTCTCTTGTGATGGCCATGGTGATACCATCCTGGAAAGGGATGCAGGAATCTTCACAACAGATGAAAACTGTTCTGGAACCAACAATCAAAGACAAGAAAGATGAACTGGCAGCGGTACAGCGCAAAGTCATGTGGGATTTATCAGGTAAGCAGTGATATAGACTATTAGCGGCCCTTGTTAGTTATTCTAGAGGGTCACGCGGTGAATTACATGTCCGCTGTAACTACAATTGGGAGGGTTTTTCTTTGTCCATTTGAAGAAGATCGGAAGAAGACAATTCAAATTTTTGTTGAAGCCACACGGACAACTTCAAAGGGGTAGTTGTTCGGCTGAAACCTCTGAAAAAGGTGATTATTCATTATCATGCGAGTTTTCCTTTGAAGAAAGTGTCTTCTCCCCAAGCTGTTCTTTAATCTTTTTTTTTCACTGTGATTAGAAACTAATGTACTTGATGTAATATTAACAACAGTTGAGGTAATTTTAAAAACCTTGCATTGCAGAGACTATGCGGACGTCCACATGTTCGTATCTGATTTTTTTAACTGTTGATCCTACTTTTTTTCTTAGAACTGTTGAAAAGCACAATGGAAAAGTTCTTAACCGACATGAAAGACACGATGAAAGAGATTGTCCAACTTCTTAAACCCAAGGTAAAGTGACCTTGTTTTTTCTTCCAGTTGCAGTTAACCCTTTAAGCCCCAATATCCACAAACAAATTCTCCAAACTGATCTCTATACATTTCCTTACAGAACTAGTTGGGAGAAATTGATAAAAGATCAGAGATTCTTCTCTTTGTGATCATTTGATTAATTCTCATAGATGTTGCACTTGACAATGTATGGATATTGTTAGGAGAAAATTGATGTTGGTCACTATTGGGACTTAAAGGGTTAAAATGCAAGGCTACCGCAGATGTCCCAAGTTTACTACCATTTCTATTCAGTATTTTCAACCAGAGAAAATGATGTAAGGGAAAGCACTCATCATCTTTTTTTTCTTTGATGTGTGGCAGATGGAGCAGGGCTTGACAGAGTTAAGAAAAATCTTCATCAAGACAGTTGGCAAAGTCATTGAGGAAGCTGAGAACACAAATGAAGTTGAGGCATCTTTACCTTCGGTATGAATTTAATATGTTCTTACACTAATTTGTATCTTTATCCGGGGTTCCAGCCTCGACCGTCGCGTTGTTTCCTTAGACAAGGAACTTTACTCTACTTTGTTTCTCTTCATCCAGGTGTATAAATGGGTACCAGCGACAGCGACAGTGGAGGGGGGGCGGGGGGCGGGGGGGGTAACCCTGGGATGGACACGCATTCTATCCAGAGGGGGGGGAGTAGCAATACTCCTAGGCATGTTTCATGATAAGGAAACCAGGATAAGCTTCAACCGTTTGGGCCTTTGGCTCGTGTGCGCCTTTATCTTGACCTACGTCATATCTTGGTACATACTTTTAATTTCCGCAGTAATACAGACAAATGCAAGACATTACGTTACATGCTTAAACACTTGTACACTGCAATTATTTTTGTCACTTTTTTGTCGTATTATGTCATCAAATTGAACAAAGAAATGAACTAATATAGCTACAGTCGAATCCTCTCTATCGACACTCTCTTAATACGGGCACCCATGTATAACGGACAGTTTCGTTTGTCCCGACGAAAAACCTATAATTATTTTCTCTCTTAAATTTACCCGCTTCACACGGACACTAATACGGACACTATGAATTTATTTTTCTTTTAGTTCTTTAAAACTTTGGACTATGCTCCTCGTTCGGCTTCGAAACTGTATGATGCTGTCAAGTGCGTTGCCAGTGCAAGTGATCTGCGTAAATATGATGACCGCATTAACAAGCTGAATGGCTATATAGTGAGAGACATTGGAAGCGATGCACTCGCTCAGGTGAGTGTCTTAGATTAGCCTGTGCCAGGCTCTGGGTCATTGTGGACGAGCGAAAAAAGCGAGCGAGCAGTGAATAGCGAACAAGCGAAAAACGGTAGGAAGAAAGAAGGGGAGAACCTGTAAGAATCTTTTCAAATACGTCAATACTTTTTTCCCGACAGTATGCATTTGCGACTCTTAATTTTTATTTTACTCCGTCAAACCCAGGTCTACTATAATTATAATTAGTTGTTGAAAAACGTTGCACGAATTGATGCTATTTACTGTGTGCGCATTTCATACAATGTATAAGTTTTGCCATGTTGCGCGCCAAAATAACGTTTATAACCCTACCTAGGTTATGAAGCCATTTGTATTGCTGTGTTGCATTCCTCTTTCAGCTTCTGGATTCAGCGATGTTTACTTTTGAGGAGCGTTTTAATGAAGGAATCACTGGTACCGATGCTAATACAAACGGCCAAACTGCAGCGGATGTCATGAAAGTAGTCAAAGAAGAAGTATTGTTGGTAAGAACGCATATGGGTACCAATAGATACTGTAGCCTGCATGTGTGGCTAGCGTTCGAAGGGGAAGGGAAGAGGGGATTACAAGGCCTAGCACGCGGGCTATAAATACTGGGAAGGGGCAAAGCTAACCCCTGTTCCCTAAGGAGCATAGTATAAAGAGGAGGGGGCAGAGGCTGTTCAGGGATTAGTGCGAAGCTGGGTCTAGCAAGTAGGGAATTCCCTCGTGAAGTTTTGTTCACTTTCCTTTTCATTTCTTTCATGGACTCTCTTGCAGCCGTTCTACGTGTCACGACACCCCCCTGATCAAAGCGTGACGACTCAAAGGACGGTTGTTTAGGGAACTACTCCTTTCACCCCCCCCCCCAAAAAAAAATATTTCCCTTCCTGTGTGTGATGTATTCCGCTACAGCTATCTTCCTAGTCTTATCGACTATATATCATCATGTGCAAGCATGAAACGAGTTTGTAAGAAGTGAATACAGTCTTTTTAGCTGGAATTTGAAAGTACTAGTTTTCCCTGTTACACTACTCGTTTCGCCACCTTACTATTCTACTCCATAATGTTTGTGCACTTGTTTTTATGTCATTGCTACCGTATACTTTGATCAACAGAAATTTGACGTAGATCAGAAAGTCGCTTTAGACGAATATCTGATGAGCGCATTGATGAGTATGCTCGTACCTCACACGCACAGTCTCGCTGATGAAGTCTGCAAACCGGTAACATTTTACTTCATTTGTCACTGACGGCTTGTAATTGAACATTCTCTAACTCTAAGGGTTTTTATTCACATCCTCAAGTTGTAGTGTACGTTCTTCGTAAGGTGAAAAAGTGGAAAAGAAAAAATGGGAAAACGAATGAACCTTCAATGGTATCAAGTCCCTCTCTAAACCATCGGTTTTTATTGACGTCGTCGCGTTGCAGTGCACGTCCTTATCGTCATAAACGGCTGACTCCAACTTTTTAGACTCTTCCCAGACCCCAACTTTTCAGAGCTTCGAGATTTAGCGCTTACTGCAACTTGCGCGCATAATAGTTTCAAATGTACCGAGGGGTCGGGCGTCGAAGTTTATAGCGCTTGGAAGGCGGACACTATTTTTTTCTTTCTCTCTTTCTTCCTCCCAACACTTTTCCTTCTCGCCTACTTCCATGCTATAAATTTTCTCATCAGCACTACTCTGATCCTCAAACATCCAATGAATTTATTGTCTTTTTCGTTTAACTTCTTAAAGATGATCAAACCAGTAGAACAGAGTATCCCAGACCCCCTCCGTCAGGCTATCTCACTCAGTGACAAGTATGACACATATGTCGAGACCAGCATCCGGGACACAATCAAGAAAGGTGAGCGGCTGCTATGTGTGGGGCCTGGGCGTTCCTTTCTCTGAATTTTCATTTCCAGTCCTGCTCACACGGCCGAACAAAACACGTTTCTAACGGAAGGTCAAGTTGGTTTTAACGCCCAAAAAATCCATCCACTTTCTTGTTGTTTAGACAGTCCAGTTCTGGCCCTTCTCTCTCTGTCACGCAACGCCGGTCTCCCTCTTCCGGCGTTGCGTGACAGAGAGAGAGGGGCCAGACCTGGAGTATTTTTTAGAAGGCCAAATAGTGAATGAATTTCAGGTACAACCCTTGTATCAACCACATTCATATAACGTGGTTTAAACTTTTAAATCAACTCCCTCTTGTCTTATCTTGTCTCTATTTGGGGGTATGTACCGAATGGGAACTATGTTGGCTCACTCAGCATCATAAGTAAGTGTGAGTACGGTGACATTGAATGCCCAAAAGAATTCGTAAAAGAATTGGAATTAATTGAATTTATTTGGAACAAACATTATCCGATTAGCTGAAATTTTGCTTGTCCAAGGGGATTAGGATGAAGGGTCTTTTTCGCCAAACTTTTAGTTTGCCTGCCTCCAAAGAAATCGTTGAACCTATCTTTCGTGTTTTTTTCTAAATTTCCGTTCTTCCCTTTTGGCAGTTTGTGGTGTCGGCAGAGCCTCGGCGACCCAAGCTGAAGCTAAGAAGGAATCCACTGCAGAACCGGCAAAGTCTGGGGAACCCAAAGCCGAAGCAACAGCGAAAGAATCCGAACAGAAATCGAGCGAACCTAAAGCCGAAGAAACAGCGAAAGAATCCGAACAGAAACCGAGTGAACCCGAAGCCGAAGAAACAGAGAAAGAACCAGAACAGAAACCGAGCGAGGAACCAAAAGCCGAAGAGAAGTCGAGCGAAGGCGGAGAAAAACCGACAGAGCCCGAAGGGGAAACGGAAGAACCGAAAGCCGAGCAGACAACTGAACTATAAAAATGAATTTGTAAAGAATGTAGCTAAAGTGCTCTGATTACGTGAGACCAACCTAAAGCTGTCCATATAACCGATCTGAGCAAATAATTTCACAGTGCTTGCTTCTGTTCAGAGGAAACCCGGAAACGTGTCCGTCGTCAAACTCTTTCGTCTTCAGTGGTCTTAACTGACCTTTCCATCAAAGGGGGCATTTGGTTCGAAGAATGAATGTTAAGTTGTTTTAAAGTTCCCAACTCTCGCTTTCTGCTTTGTAAGGGGCCCGCGTAATTGCCTCATCTTCAAGATTCTCAAGTAACCTCCTTCTCACCGGCCAAGGATGTTCTGTTTGTCTCGCGCATGCAGGGCCTACATCATTTTATTAGAAAGTAGTTTTAAACATGACACGACATCGACGGCAACGAGAACGTTAGAAGCAGCAATAGGTTAAAAGGTAACCAAGCAACAACACGTGACCGTCGCTGCATGACTACTACGTGGAGGACGTAAACACAAGGAGGAAAAGGTTTCTTAAGCTTTCTGAATTTTAGGGTGCCGTTCTTAAAAATTCAACCACAAGAGGATTAGCCTAGCGAGTTGGAATGCCGGTAACCGTGATGAAGTTTGAAAAGGAATTTACTATATAAGTGACGTTTTTTTTCTGCCGTCGTGGTTGTGGTATTTTAATACTTAGCCAATAGGGTGCTCGACACATATTTTATCTTTAACTTACGAAAAACGAGGAAAAAACCTTCAAAGAAAAGGTCGAATGAAGTTATCTATTGCAGACAATCTCCGGATTCGTGAAATAGTACATGTATAAACAGCTAAAAGCAGAATATGGTACGTACTCAAGTGTTCATTGAAAGTTATTCTTGTGTAATTTTTGAAGAAAGAAATTGAAAATGCTTTTTTCCATAGTTTTATAGAGCTACAAGTAGAACTTTTGTACAAAGGCAACGTTATATAAATTTACGTAATTTTGTACTACGTGACTTGTGGGACGTTTATGCCAACGTTCTTTCCTTGTAGTAAATGACAATTCAACCTCAACGCATTCAGTTCTATTCTTTGGCTGATGTAGACGGCTGTATTTGTTAAGCAAACGGTACATTTTCATTTTTACCCTTTTGGATAAAACGGCTCCCATTTCGACCGTCTTTGTTTAAAAAAAAAATCGCAAAGAAATCTCTTTCACGTCGCCTTGAGTGTATGAAGTAGATTTATACTTTTGTGAAATATATTTTCTACAATGTGTGTTGGTGTTCCATATCTCATAATGTTAAAAGGACTCCACCCCCAAAAAGGAAATGTCAAGTTCGAGGTACATTTATGACTATTCTAATCTGCCGAGTCTACTTTATATTTGGGAAGATATGAAGACATTTTACAATACCTCCTGGATAAAGTTAATCGGGTAGAAACCTCTTATTCATACCCTTAAATGGACCAAGCGGAACATGTTTATAGTTATAGCCGGTACTCCAGGTCATGATTCTACTGGTCTCCTCCGTCTCCAATACTCTGCCCATAAAGATGTGTCCTTTTCAGCTACATTGACGCAGGATACGTTAAGTCGTGGTTGTCGCGTTAGGGAAGGAAGAAGTCATGATATACGTAACAAAGACATTATTTATCCTAACGTCGTTTTGTATATAAGGTTGTCAACCTCGAGATATATCCATCCAAGATAAGAATAAGTTTTTCCTTTACTCACTGTACTAGCACGATCAGTAACATGTAACCGCTACAATAGTTGCATTTCATAGTATCTGGATTCGAGATCGCGCCTCATTCTGGACACCAGAGCTCACGCTCGTGAGAGAAGAGCTCTGGGGTCGAAAATGGATCGCGTCTCCGAACAAATTCGATGCGCGCACATGTAGTTGTTATCTTTTATGACGACAGGTGACGATAAGCATCTGGCAGTTGTCAGTGCGCCGCGTAAAAAGTTGTGTCGCATTCCACTCCATGAAAGTTATTTGTAATACCACGAAAGCTTGTTCATCGAAACACCCACACTCTTTCCTCATATAATGGAGTTGTGAATTCGTGCCGGTGAACGACATCAAAAATGGTAAGTCTGCTTTTACTAGCTACCACAGATTTTTTTTCGCGTCAGAACAGTCGTTTGGAAGGGATGTGTTTATAGGTTCAAAAATAGAAAACAATTGCTTATATGATTATATGATGGAGCCCCCCCCCCCGGAACTGACCAATCGTCCCCAATCTCGTTCCCCCCTCGCCCTTCCGCTGGCAAAGGGGAAAGCGGACACTGGGAACGGGATAGGGTACCTTCCCACATGCACCAGGGAGGT